AGCTGCTGCCAGAGCAACATTTTAAAGAATCTGCACAGTTCATTGAATCTCCAGTGGCCAATCAGAAGCCTCGCTGGGCAAAAGCCCTATCTGACCCCGCCCACTTTCTAAACACACTGGGTGGGTCCCAGGATAGGTGTCAGCAGGCACCACTGTAGCCATGGATGCCACATTGGGGGCGGGGAGGGCTGTTCTATAGGCAAGAAGGTGAATGTGAGCAGCAACATGGCTTCTCAGGAGTCCAAAATTGTGATAGGTCACGTTTCTTTTCTCTTGGTAAGCATGAAAAATGGATCTCAGACTTCTACAGGGATCATAGGAGCTGGGAAAGTGGTTTGCAGGTCAATTTATTCACTTTAGAGCCTGCCCCTCTCACAGAGACTCTAGTAGGATTGCACGGTCTCGATAAATGCAACCAATAGGATTATATCAATGGTGCGACCTCATTTGGAATACTGTGTGCAGTTCTGGTCACCACACCTTAAAAAGGATATTATAGCTTTGGGAAAAGTGCAGAAAAGGGCAACTCGAATGATAAAAGGGTTGGAACACTTTCCCTATGAGGAACGGTTAAGGCGCTTAGGGCTCTTTAGCTTGGAGAAACGACGACTGAGGGGTGACATGATTGAGGTTTATAAGATTATGCATGGGAAAGAGCAGGTAGAGAAAGAGGTACTTTTCTCCCTTTCTCACAATACAAGAACCCGTGGGCACTCCATGAAATTGCTGAGCGGTCGGGTTAGAACGGATAAAAGGAAGTACTTCTTCACCCAAAGAGTGATTAACACTTGGAATTCACTGCCACAGGAAGTGGTGGCAGCTACAAGCATGGATGGCTTCAAAAGGGAATTAGATAAGCATATGGAGCAGAGGTCCATCAGTGGCTATTAGCCACAAGGTATAGATAGAGCCCCCCCCCCCCATTCCCACCCCAAACTCTCCCACCAGGGACCCTACAGAGCTCCCTGGTGAACTATCTCATTCTGTCTTTATATGTCACTTAAAAAAAAATTGTTCTTATTTGCCTCAGCCTTAATACAAATCATGGCAGCTGCGGAAGCCGGAAGAGATGTTGTTTATTTCACCTTTGGAGATGCTGAGCTGATGAGAGACATTTACAGCATGCACACTTTCCTAACTGAGAAAGGACAAACTGTTGGTAAGCATCAGTTCCTGCTAACCCCCCTTTCCCTTTGAAAGGCTGTGTGATGATAAGCAATGCAGAGGTCCACTGTCCTAAGCAGTGCCCTAAATCAAGAGATATGTTTTGTGCAAATCGAGGACTTAAGCTGTAATATTTGCAGTTGGATCTGAGACAGACAGACTCTCAGAAGAAGTGGGTGGATTTCTGTTTCTGTGGTATTCCCCCCCCTCCTTGGATTGCATTTTTTTCTTTACAGAACAAGCCAAACATAAGTGTGCTTTAAAAAACAAATTTTGGATCAAGGTAGCATAAATTCTGTGGCCTTAAAACTTGGGTTCTGTAAACTGTATAAATCATGCGGTGCTTATCACGATTGTGTGGTTTCTCTCATGTTGTATAATTTATGCTGCATTGGTTAACCATGGGAAGGCACTGATGCCCCACCTTCTGGAAATGTTATGTGGTAGTTGCTGTGGCTTGTGAGATGTAGTAGGCATTGGCGGCACCCTTTCAAGCATATCTCTACAGCCACATGGACTAGAAACTTCGACTCTATATATGGCTCTATGTGGTTTTAAATGTATATTTCCTTTTTCATAGTAGTCCTCTTTTAAGGTATTTTTATGCCAATAAAGGTGAACTGAACTGACTAGAAACTTGCTCTCTTCAAAAATGTGATGTTCCTCAGGAGGCTGAATTTTGCCTCTTCTGCAGCTTTTCTGTGCTCCTGTAGGACTGCGTATAGTCTAAGCAGTCATGGTTTGATAGCAGATTTATTAATGCACACGGACACCAATTTCAAATGTTTGGATTTCAGGGTTTTAGACTTGCACAGCGACTTAAGTGATGGGACTTAAGCAAGCACTCTGATTCCCTAGTGCTTATTCCGGTTACTCCATGAAGGAGGCAAGCTGATACGTTTGTAGTGAGATCATTCCATTACACGTACCATTTCAAAACACATCCCCTTCTTTTCAGTTGTGGAGTTCAGTGATTCAGGTGGCTGTGTCCCAGATTCACCACGAGGAGCATTCGTAAGAATATGGTGCTCCCAGACGAGTTTTAGGGGAAAGTCATCCCTTGGGGGCATTTTCCTGAGATCATTAATTCTATAAACTCACCTTTTCATGTCATATGTTTGAATTTTTTAAAAAGGTTTTTCTGAAAAGAAAACTAGAATTCCATGGAGATAGATTCAGGTAGGTAGCCATGTTGGTCTGTAACAATAGGAACAAGTTTGAGTCCAGTGGCAACTTTAAGATCAACAAAGTTTAATTCTGGGTATAGTGTGCAGGGCACACTTCTTACGATGTATCTGATGAAGTGTGCCCTGCACACAAAAGCTTATACCCAGAATTAAACTTCGTTGGTCTTAAAGGTCCCACTGGACTCCAACTTTGTTCTAGAGTTCCATGGGTCTAATTACGTTCCCCTGTGGTTAGTAGGTCCTTTTGGTATTGAACATACAAGAGTACTTGTGCTCATTTTCTTTCGGCCTGGCTAAATTTTCAGTTCAACAATAATTCGTTCATCTTTGTTTTTCCCTCCAAGGGGACGTTTACAGACTGTTACTCAGATACTACAATGAGGAATGCAGGTGCTGCTCTGCTTCAAGACCAGAAGTCAAACTCTACCCTTTCATATACAGTGCAGTAGAATCATACATGAATGCCACCGATGATGAGAAATGATTGTGTTTTTGATGAGTAAAATGAGCATTTGAATCGCCTTCCTCTTCTCCACGTGAATATCAATTGAATTGCTGGATGTCACATAACGGAGTAGCGTAAATTAATGTCTGTGTATATAAATATTGCCTTTTGTCTCACGTGTGATTCAAACATCAAAGACCAGTCTCGAAGTGAAATGGACTTCCTTTCCAATGTAAACTATTATCCCCAATCATCACACCTGGAACAAAATTTATGGTTTGCTAAATAAACCGCTTCCTTAGCCTACCCTCCAGCCATATAATTTATGAGGCTCTTATTGGGGGGGGGGGGGTGAGAGTCTTCTCATTATCTTTTGTGTTGCACATAACAATCGTTCCTGAGCTTGTAGTGGCTCCATAGATATATTTTTTAAGATTATTTTAGCTCTGCAAACAAAATCCCATTTTGTTCTGGCTCAGTAAAAGACATAAACAGGCAAAGATGCCTTAGAGACAACAAGAAGAAGAAGCATGTGTAGAGCATGTTTCCTTTTAGGTGGCAGGAGAGAAGAATGTGGTTTTGGTGAAAGGGCCAATATCAAATCTGGGGGCAACATCTCATATGATTTCCTACCTTTAATGATTCCTAAAAAGCCTGTACACGGGCCATGTATTTATGAAATGGTTAACCAACTTTTAAATATATATATATATACATATATATATCTTTTAAATTGCACAAGATTCCTTGTGGCAGTTCTGGGCAATCGTTGGGATTCCGATGGAAAATATGTATATAGTACTTAATGCACAATGAAACCTAGATTATTATACCTGGGGGTTCATAGCATAATGTAAACCCCCTGTAAGGTGTGCCTCAAGTAAGCACAGGTGGTGCTGCTGCTGCAACTGGGATATGGGAAATGCGAAAGAATAGGCATGAGACCCTGGTAAAACATCGCCCAGGTCTAGCCCCGCTGAAACAAACGAGAGTTGTTAAAGTGGTCGAACTTCTCCCAGCTCTCCATTGCTTCAGTGGGGCATAGGAGAAATTCTTGTCCTTCGTGGCGAAAGTGCTCAGGGAAGAGAAAGGAAAATGAACTATTGGTTGGCTGCTGTGAAGTCGGCAAGAGGTGACAATAGACATTATTTAGAGGGAGGCATGGCGGAAACGCGATCACCAGTTCTAGGACGGGCAGCGGGGAAGCAGCAGTAAGGAAAGCGTGTGGCCTAATGCTGAATGCCGCATGAAGCTGCAGTAATTTTCTCTCTCCAGCTTTTTAAAGCCAACTAGCACAGGGTGAATAGGTTAATAAGAGCCTTCTTGTCCCAGCGGCCTCCCAATTAAAGACGGAACTGAACTTTCCGGGATGCTGCACGAAAACCGAAAAGGGATCATTCTCGGTCAGTCTAATATCTCGCCTTTCTCTTCAGTCCTTTCCCATACCTTCAGTATCTTCCTCCTGAATTTCATGGTATGCTCTCTCTTTCTTTTTTTCAAGCCAGCAAGAACTTCCTGGTGCTGCACTCTGAATGTAGAGGGAGCTGATGGTCTGTTCCTTCCTTAGGTGGGAATGTGCCCTTTCCATCAGCTGTGTAGTAGAGTGCTCTTGACCAACCTGTACCTAAATTCCTCAGTGAGAAGACTTGTGGTTATGGTCACCCTTGACTGTATATAATAATTTATAGAACTTGAAAGATATCATTAATTCTTTTAACCTTGCTGGGTGTGTATTTGCTATATTTTTGATGGGGGCGGGTTGGAGCAAGGAATCATATGCTAAGTTTACATGGTTGGGCTTTTCTTTTCTTTTTTTTTTAAAAAAGGAAAATAATAAAAACAATGAACGTTTTTCTCCACATGTCTCTTTTGGTGTGTTAATTTGGAGAGCTTCAGCATAAGACAGTCCAGTTCCTGGCCAGAAGATCACTTGTCTGCTGGATCTCAAATCTGTGAGGATGAGCATAGCAGAAGGTTGAGGGCACACTTCACTGAAAACAGAGGAAAAAATCCAAAGATTTTGTGCTCAGAAACGCTGGATTCAACAACCTGTATAAATTACACAAGTTAAGCAAATTTGGATAATTCTGCATAAGTAATAGATTCTTTTGAACTATGGTGCTGGAGAAGTCTTTTGAGAGTCCCTTGGACTGCAAGGAGATCAAATCAGTCAATCCTAAAAGAAATCAACCCTGACTGTTCCCTGGAAGGCCAGATAATGAAAATGAAGCTCCAATACTTTGGCCACCCAATGAGATGGGAGCACTCACTGGAGAAGACCCTGATGCTGGGAAAGACTGATGGTCAAAGAAGACGGGGACGGCAAAGTCATAGATGCAACGAACATGAAATTGAGCCAACTTCAGAGGACGGCGGAAGACAGGAAGGCCTGGCGGGGAGCTGGTCCATGGGGTTGCGAAGAGTCGGACTCGACTGTGCGACTGAACAACAGCTTAGAGGGAACATTGATTACCACCCTGCTGCCCCAAAGCAGGCACCCCTTGTGGAAGGACAGTTCCCTCTAAGCTGTGGAGGGCTGAAAACTCTCAAAAGACTTCTCCAGCACCATAGTTCAAAAGAATGTGTGAGCCAGAGGCTAAAAAACTGTGAGCTAGCTCACACTAACTCAGCTTAGAGTGAACACTGGTGGTTCGTGATTACATAAAGTTTCCTCACTTGTCATGGGGGGGGGGGAATTCTGACGTTAAGTGATAGCATGGCACATCCATCGCTTGTGCAAGAAAGGGAGCTGCACCAATGCAGAATCATGGAAGAGATTAAAAAACAGTGCAGTGGGGAAAGAAATTTCATTTCACTTGAAGATCCCTATGTGTTTTGTGTGCAACTTCATCAGAATTCTAAAATCACTGAGTTGGAAGAGGGCATACAGGCCATCTAGTCCGACCCCTGCTCAATGCAGGATCAGCCTACGGCAGTGGTGCCGAACCTTTTAGAGACCGAGTGCCCAAACTGCGACCCAGAACCCACTTATTTATCGCAAAGTGCCAACACGGCAATTTAACCTGAATACTGAGGTTTTACTTTGGGGGGAAAACAAACTCATACATTAAGTTAAGATGATCCAAACAAAGTAAGGAACGCAATCCCAAATGCTTTCATTTACTTAAAATTATTTGGCAGAGAATTCGACACTTTAATGATGGTCTGCGCCTGGCTGCGGCGATGGCACGCGTGCCCACAGAGAGGGCTCTGAGTGCCACCTCTGGCACCCGTGCCATAGGTTCGCCACCACTGGCCTAGAGCATCCCTGACCAGTGTTTGTCCAGGCGCTGCTTAAAGACTGCCACTGAGGGGGAGCTCGCCACCTCCCTAGGCAGCAGATTCCCCTCTTGTACAACTCTTGCTGTAAAAAAGTTTTTCCGAAGATCCAGCCGGTACATTTTCACCGTTAATTTAAACCCATTATTGTGAGTCCTCTCCTCAGCTGCCAACAGGAACAGCTCCCTACCCTCCTCTAAGTGACAGCTTTCAGTTACTTAGAGCATTCATGTCCCCCCTCAACCTCCTCTTCTCCAGACTGAACATTCCCAAGTCCCTCAGCCTTTCCTCAAAGGGCTTCTTGGTCTCCAGGTGGATCAGTAAGGCAACCATCTCATAGAGTGTTCCCATGGCCAGGGAAAAAATGTGCTCTGTTGGTTGCCTCACACTGACATATGCATTGGCACCCTGCTAGCCTGAAAGACTGCTAGTTTGAACGGCAATCTTTTGTTTACCTAGGGAGGAAATGTTAACTTGGCCTCTGAGCATTCACAGAATGCAAACAACATTAACTGAGCATTGCTGCCAACTTTTATACAGATAATCCATGAAGGAAGCTCATTTCACCATCTGTAGAAGTTCGGTCTGTGGCTATTTGCTAGCTCTGTCCTCCATCACTCCAACAGCCTCCCACTGCCAGCGCCATGGGGGGGCTTTGGGGGGCTGTTTTTCCCTCCATAGGAGCACCTTCTTTGGGGGGCTGTAACTTGGACCCCATAAATCCAATCCTCATCAAACTTGGAGGGCAAGTAGAGGAGAGTCATCTGGAGATCTCTTGCATGTTTGGCATCTTTAATTTGCACAGGATCCATTCTATACAATCCTGACCCTCATGAACCTGTGCTTGTCATTTCCCCAGAAAATGCTTTCCTGGGGACACCTTCTTTGGGGGAGCCATAACTCGAACCCCATAAATTCAATCCTCACCAACCTTGGCATGTAGGTAGAGGTGGGTTAGCCGGATATCCCTTGTGAGTTTGGTGTCTCTATCATGCTGAGGGGTGTTCTACCATGTCACAAACCTCACAAATGAAACTGGTTTATTTGTGATGTTTCATGGTTCATGAAGCTGGCATACCATGAACCATACCACATTTTCCCAGTTCATGCCCATCACTACTCAACACCAGTTCTCTAGGTGAAATCCATCTGGTTGTCCTCATGAATTACCCCTGCATTGACCCATGTGGATCTATAAGAACCAGATCATCACTGAGACAGTACCCTAAGACCACAATTGTACCTTTAAAGATTGACTACCTCTTTCAATAGTCTTTCAGTAGTCATGTATGGCTGCGAGAGTTGGACTGTAAGGAAGGCCGAGTGCCGAAGAATAGATTCTTTTGAACTATGGTGCTGGAGAAGACTCTTGAGAGTCCCTTGGACTGCAAGAAGATCAAATCAGTCAATCCTAAAAGAAATCAACCCTGACTGTTCCCTGGAAGGCCAGATAATGAATCTGAAGCTCAAATACTTTGGCCACCCAATGAGAAGGGAGCACTCACTGGAGAAGACCCTGATGCTGGGAAAGATTGAAGGTCAAAGAAGATGGGGACGGCAAAGGATGAGATGGTTAGACAGTGTCACAGATGCAACGAACATGCCTCTTTAGCTTCTGCAGAGCAGCAACATACCATTTTTCTTGTCCCTCCACCAGCCTTTTCTCTCCCATCTCTGCTCCTTGTCCCTTTCTCTCCCTTTGTTGCCCCCCACAGCTTTCTCTCACTTTACTTCCATTCTCAGAGGACGGCGGAAGACAGGAGGGCCTGGCGGGAGCTGGTCCATGGGGTTGCGAACAGTCGGACTCGACTGTGTGACTGAACAACAAAAAAGCAGCTGACTTATGTCGACCCTGTAAGATATTTGGGAGAGAAACAGGTGGACTGCCTCCGCGAAGCAGTCCCGGACTTCCTTGCTTGTCTCCCATCCAAATACTAACTGAGGCTGACCCTGCTTAGCTTCTGAGACTGGACTAGCC